TATCCCGACTAGAGCACTGGCGACAGTGTCAGCCTGGATATTCGTCAGAGCGACGGCTTCTGGGTAGCGAGTCGCATAGTCCACCACGGTAAGGATATATTTCTTACCGGAGGGACTGGGGTTAGGCAGAGGTCCCACTAGGTCGACTGCTACCCTGCTAAATGGTTCCTCGATCACAGGCATAGGTAGCAGTCGAGCTTTAGGGTGATCCCCTCTCTTCCCTACCCGTTGGCATACGTCACAAGTACTGCAGTAACGTCGCACATCCTTCGAGATTCCCGGCCAAAAGAAGGTCTGGGTGATCCTGAAGGTGGTGCGGTTACCCCCTAGATGTCCTGCCAACGGAATGTCGTGGCCAATTCGGAGAAGTTCCAACCGGTACTTTTTGGGTACCACCAGTTGGCGCTTCTGCGAAGGGGCACAGCCTCTCTTTCTGCCTTCAGTCAGTCTGTATAACCTGTCCCCATCCCATAGAAAGCTTTCCCGTCCGTCCCCCCCATGGTCAGCTAATTCTCGATACTTTTGGAGAGTGGGGTCCTCTCTAGTTTCCCTCCCAAACTCCTCTGGGGTGTCCCAAGCTATGGGCCTGCCTATCGTAGTGGGGTGACATGTGGGTGCTTGGCTTACCTGGGTCTCCCGGCCTGTATTAGGATCATCTGCGACACGGGACTGTGAACGGGTGGTTACGGGACAGGCGGCAGCCGGTGTGGGCAAATATGCTGAAGTTAAAGGTCCAATGTCATTTCCCAATACGACCTCGGCAGGCAAGTTGTCCATAATGCCGACGGTGGTTTTTCCTGATCCAACTCCCCAATCTAGGTGTACTCGGGCGGTGGGCAAGCGAAAAACAGCGCCCCCTGCAACCCGAACAGCAACAGTGCGGGTCGACACATCCTCCGGCTTCACTAGGTGTTTTTGGATCAAAGTGATGGTAGCCCCGGTGTCTCTTAGGCCTTGTGCTGTTTGTCCATTCACCTTAACCTCCTGTCGGTGATGTTGTCGGTTGTCTGGGGAAGCAGCTTGTATGGGGTCTGCTTCATACAAAATCCCCAGACATTCTTCAGGGCCCCTTTCGGCTTCCAGACAGTGAGCCGCAGCGGGTCGTGCTGCAGGGGCCTCTGGGCTGGGAGTTGTACGCCTCCAGTTGTTGTTACTGGATCTTAGGGGACAATACCGGGCAATATGTCCGAGGTTGCTGCAGTGATGGCACGTCACCTTTGACAAATCCCGGGGGTAGTTAGTAGTCCCCTGAGGCCGGGGTGGTCCTGGTGGGACTGGAGCTCGAAATTCTGGGCGTGAGACAGCGGCTGGGGCACGTGGCTCTATTTTGTGAGCTTGTCGGGTAGTACCCTGGCTTACTTTCCTTGTCTCGGCATATTCGTCGGCCAGCCGAGCCGCCTCTTTTAAATTGGCGGGGCGCCGATCTCGTACCCAGTCTTGTATGTCCGCCGTCAAATCTTGGAAGAAATGTTCCATTAAGAATAACTGTAACACCTCCTCACCCGTGTGGGCTTTGCATCCTTGGACCCAGTGAGATGCTACTCTCTGTAGTCGGTTTGCCCATTCCATGTGGGAGTCCACAGCTTTCTTTTTGGACTCCCGAAAGCGACGACGGTAGGCTTCTGGGGTTACCGCATACCTGGTGAGCAGTGCCTCTTTTACTTTTTGGTACTGCGTGATTTCCTCTGTAGTGAGTGCTCGGAAAGCCTCATTAGCTTTCCCTGACAGTTTTCCCGCCAGGATAGTGACCCATTGCTCTGGCGGTATGTGATGTAGTGAGCACTGTCTTTCAAAGTCAGCCAAATATCCATCAATTTCCTCGTCATGTTCTACAAAGGCTTTAAATGCAGTAAAGGGAATTTTCGTTACCGTAGTAGTGGGTAGCGGGGTAGGAACTGTCTGGGTAGTGAGCTGTCGGGCTCTTACCAGTTCCGTTTCTTGTTCCCTCTTGGTTTGTATTTCTTCCCTTGTTTCCCGGAACAGTTGGGTTATTAGTTCTGTAGACGTGACTGGATACAAAGCTAACCTCCGCTGCACAATTGCAGTAATCACATCGTCCTCGCTGATGGGTGCCATGGGTTCAGTTACCTCCATGGACCTGTCCATCTCGTCCAGCTCCAGCAAGTCAGCTATCAGCTCCCTCCGTGGTCTGTTGCTGGCACTCCTACCACGATTCTCCAACAGATCCTTTAGTGTGGGTCTTTTCAGCTTCGCATACTGTGACTCCATTCAGTGCTTGTTTGTTGGATAAAAGGACCATCCCACCGCTGCCACCAATGTAACGGCTACCCTGGTAGAGAGAGGGTATCGGCCGTTGGAGACGTCCTTTTTCCCTGCAAGCTGCTGTGGAGAAGTAAGCTGGTATAATCCCATTCACGATATCCAGAGTAAAAGTCAGGTTCAGCTGTAGCAGGAGCAGAATAACATTCCCAAATAATCCCCTTCCAAGAACGAGACAAGGCTACGTTTTGCAGGGTCAAGAAGATCTGAGGTCTGGGAGAACCAGCCTGCTTTTTATTAGGAACAAGTACACACAGGACACTCCCAGGGGGAGGATGAAAATAACCAATTACACACAGGGTAACACCCCCACGTCTCCTCCCCTCAGATAAACATATAACATAATTATAACGTACATAAATTTACCCACATTCTGGATGTACCCCAAAAACAGGGGGTACACCTTTAAGTCCAGCACCGCTTAATAGCTACCACTCAGGGGAATAACATATTCAAATTTCACGTCATTCGGTTGTGGGGTTCGGGAGTTATGGGTCTTTGAAAGTTTGACCGACCGCACAGGATTTTCAGCCGAAAAGAGTTCCACAAGTTTTGGCCTTGCGGTCGGTCCCCGTTCGTGAATAAAAACCCCACGAACCCCTTGCCCTCCACAGTAATCCTGCCGTTCGCCTGAATCCCCATGCATGCTTAAACAAAACTACCGAACGGCCGGTCGTTCGGTAGTTTCAGCACGAACTTACGAGCTCCTGGAGGTCTCAGCGGCGTTCGCCTGTTTGCGCATCCGTTTTTAGTTCCATGAGTTCACAGGCAAACACCGCCGTTCGTGCGTAAGATGGCCGCGAACACGTGTAAAGTCCCGAAATGGCGGCCACCTATTCTCAGACAAAGGGATTCGTCTGAACCAGGCGAACGGCTGTATTCTCCAGAAATGGTATTCCCTTGCAATAAGTTCGCCATTTTCACTGTTTTAGTCCACAGGGCTTTGGTGCTGGTGAAGTCCTGTTACAGGGGTTACTGCTGGGGAGGGTAGGGGTTACTGCTGGGGGTTAGGGGTTACTGCTGGGAGTAGGGGGTTACCGCTGGGGGTTAGGGTACTGCTGGGGAGGGTAGGGGCTACTGCTGGGGGTAGGGGTACTGCTGGGGGTTAGGTACTGCTGGGGGTTAGGGGTTACTGTTGCAGGGGGTTACTGCTGGGGGTAGGGGGTTACTGCTGGGGGTAGGGGGTACTGCTGGGGGTTAGGTTACTGCTGGGGGGTTAGGGGTTACTGCTGGGGGTAGGGGTACTGCTGGGGTTAGGGTTACTGCTGTGGGTTAGGGGTTACTGCTGGGGGTTAGGGCTACTGCTAAAGGGGTACTGCTGGGGGTTAGGGGTTACTGCTGGGGGTAGGGTACTGCTGGGGGTTAGGGGTTACCAAGGCTGGGGAGGGGAGGGGCTACTGCTGGGGGTTAGGGGTTACTGCTGTAAGAATACTGCTGGGAGGGTAGGGGTTACTGCTGGGGGTTTAAATGCTGGGGGGTTAGGGGTTACCGCTGGGGGTAGGGGTTACTGCTGGGGGGTAGGGGTACTGCTGGGGGTTAGGGGTCACTGCTGGGGGTAGGGGTACTGCTGGGGGTTAGCTACCGCTGGGGAGGGTAGGGGCTACTGCTGGGGGTTAGGGGGCTACTGCTGGAGGTAGGGGTTACTGCTAAAGTTAGGGGTTGCTGGGGGTTAGGGGTTACTGCTGGGGGTTAGGGGTTACTGCTGGGGGTAGGGGCACTGCTGGGGGTTAGGGCTACTGCTGGGGGTTAGGTTACTGCTGGGGGGTTAGGGGTTACTGCTGGGGGCTAGGGGTTACTGCTGGGGCGGGTAGGGGTTACTGCTGGGGGGTTAGGGGTTACTGCTGGGGGGTTAGGGGTTACTGCTGGGGGGTAGGGGTACTGCTGGGGAGGGGAGGGGTACTTCTGGGGGTGTAAGGGTGCTGTGTCAGTATACCCCCCCCTCCTTCTTACCTTTAATGAAGTGAGGGGGGGGTGGGGGACGACACACAGCGATCCCTGGTGGTCCGGTGGTGGTAAGCACTGCAGGGGGAGGGCTCTAGGAAGCAGCTCCCCTGTCCTCTCGCGCAATGCTGTGTGGAGCGTTGCCATGGTAACGCGCGGCAACGCTCCATACAGCATCGCGCGGGAGGACAGGGGAGCTGCTTCCTAGAGCCCTCCCCCTGCCTCCCGACACGGAAGCAGAGTAGGCGCCTGCCGTTTCGGGCAGGCAGGCGCCTACTCTGCAGTGATGGCGGACCTGTGGCCGCGTGCCCACAGAAAGGGCCCGGCGTGCCACCTGCGGCACGCGTGCCATAGGTTCGCCATCACTGACGTAAGACCACTGAGAAGCGAATTGCAGTAGTCAAGGTAAGCAGCATGGGCCAGCACCTTAGCTGTGTCCGGCATTAAGTAGTGGATATCAACACAGCAGTGGCAATGAATATGGACACTCTACCAGTATGAGCAGTGGATATTGATACTCTCCCAGTTTGGGCAGTAGATATCTCCCAATACTGGCAATGGATATCGACATTCTTTCAGTACGGGCAGTGAATATTGACACTCTCCCAGTACAGGCAGTGAATATTGACACACTGTCAGTACGGGCAGTGGAAATTATTACACACTCTCTCTGAGTACGGGCAATGAATATTGACACTCTCCCAGTACGGGCAGTGGATATTGACAATTTCTCAGTATGGGCAGTGAATAGTGACACTCTCTCAGTACGAGCAGTGGATATGGAAGCTCTCCCGGTATGGGTAGTGGATATTGACACTCTCCCAGTACAGGCATTGTATATTGACACTCTCCCGGTACGGGTAATGGATATCAAAACTCTCCCAGTATGGTCAGTGAATATTGACAAACTCCCAGTACGAAAATTGGAAATTGACACTCTCCCAGTACAGGCAGTGGATATCGACACTCTCCCAGTACAGGCATTGGATATTGACACTCTCCCAGTACGGGCAGTGGATATGGACACTCTCCCAGTATGGGCAGTGGCTATGGACACTCTCCCAGTATGGGCAGTGGCTATGGACACTCTCCTGGTACGGGCAGTGAATACTGACACTCTCCCAGTATGGGCAGTGGATATGGTCACTCTCCCAGTATGGGCAGTGGATATGGTCATTCTCCCAGTACGGGCTATAAATATTTACACTCTCTCAGTACGGGCAGTGAATATTGACACTCTCCCAATAAGAGCAGTGGATATTGACACTCTCCCAGTATGGGTAGTGGATATTGACACTCTCCCAGTATGGGCAGTGAATATTGACACTCTCCCAGTACAGGAATTGAATAGCGACACTCTCCCAGTACGGGCAGTGGATATTGACAATCTCTCAGTACGAGCAGTGGATATGGAAGCTCTCCCAGTATGGGCAGTGGACATGGACACTCTCCCAGTATGGGCAGTGGATATTGGCACTCTCCCAGTACGGGCAGTGGATATGGGCACTCTCCCAGTATGAGCAGTGGATATTGACACTCTCCCAGTACGGGCAGTGGATATGGACACTCTCCCAGTATGGGCAGTGGCTATGGACACTCTCCCAATATGGGCAGTGAATACTGACACTCTCCCGGTACGGGCAGTGAATACTGACACTCTCCCAGTATGGGCAGTGGATATGGACACTCTCCCAGTATGGGCAGTGGATATGGACACTCTCCCAGTACGGGCAGTGAATATTGACTCTCTCCCAGTATGGACAGTGGATATTGACACTCTCCCAGTACGGACAGTGGATATTGACACTCTCCCAGTATGGGCAGTGGATATTGACACTCTCCCAGTACTGGCAGTGGATATTGACACTCTCCCAGTACGGACAGTGAATATTGACTCTCTCCCAGTACAGACAGTGGATATGGACTCTCTCCCAGTACGGGCAGTGAATATTGACTCTCTCCCAGTACAGACAGTGGATATGGAATCTCTCCCAGTACGGGCAGTGGATATTGACAATCTCTCTGTACGAGCTGTGGATATGGAAGCTCTCCCAGTACAGGCAGTGGATATGGACTCTCTCCCAGTATGGGCAGTGGATATTGACAATCTCTCAGTACGAGCAGTGGATATGGACTCTCTCCCAGGACGGGCAGTGGATATGGAAGCT